GCGAGGCCACGGCAGGTCCCTCACCTGCAGAGTGGACAGCAGAGGGTGTTGTCTGGCAGGGCGTGTCTGCATCTGTGTTTGTGTCCGAATCTGGGTCATGTGTGTGTTTTCGGTCTCCTGCCGTCCTGGGGTTGCCGCTGTCACAGCCGCGGCCGTGCGGGCGTCCTCAGCTCAGGGAGGGCGCGGCTGGGGCTTGCGGCCCAGGGCTGTCTGGGTAGAGGAGCCACAGACAAGTGGTCGGAGCACACTTTCACTCTGGCCCTCTCGACAGATGGCCAGCGCTGCCCCTTCTGCGTCAGTGACCTCCCCAAAGCCGCTCAGAAGCCGCGTGTGCGGATTTAAAAGAATCTCCCAAGTGGTCGGCCTCCAGGCCTAAGTGGCAGCCCAGCCCTGTCCTCACAGTGGTGGCCTGGGCCTGAGGTCTGCCTGTCTGTTCACGTGTCCCCCGTCTCTGCCGGCCGCACCTCCAGGGGCTCCTGCCTGCCCTCCTGCTGCCCCCCACAATCACCCCTCACCCCGCCTCTGGGCTCTTCCTGCCAGCCTGGCCCCCTTGCCCTGCTGCCGTGGCTCCGATGGCACCGTTGGGAGTTTTGGGGTGTGTGGTCCCCTTTAAATCTTCCCAGCACAGCCGTGTGCTTGTGTCTACATGCCAGAGGCACCACGTGAGGAGGAGGGTCTCAGCCTCGGGTGGGGGACCCACAGCTGCCCAGGCTCTGTTTGCTCTGGAAGGAGCCGCCTGGGAAGACCCCTCCCAGCGCCTGCCCATCCCCGCTGGCCCCGCCCACTCGCCTCTGGACAGCGTGTTCATAGGAGGTGTTTTGATTTCTTCACTTCCTTTGTAGCTTATTTTAATGTTTTTGATGTGCCGAGCGAGCGTGAGGACAGAAGGCAACAAAGAAGGGGCTGGCACTGCTCTCTGTAGGGGACAGGGCTCCCCTGGGGCCGAGGGCTCTGGGAGGAGGAAGTGCGTCCCGGGTGTTGGCGGCCAAGGTGTCGCCAGGTCTCCTGCCAGACGGACGCTCAGTCGGCGCTTCTGTGCCACGGGCGGTGGGAGGGGTCGGTGGCCTTCCTGGTGCTCCCAGGCCCCGTCGCCTGCGGCCCAGCCCACACGGCCCTCCCCGCCGTGGGACCCCGAGCGCGCTGCGTGGCCTCTGTGCCTCGGTTTCCTCGCGTGTAACGGGCGTTGGGAGTAGCGGCAGCTGGTTTGTCTCGGGCGTTGAGGTTGAGGTGTCAGTGTCTCCGGGCGGAGACGTGCCGTGTTTGCTGCTGGGAACGCGCGCGGAGCTGGGGGCCTCGCCCGCTCTGCCTTCCCTCTGCCCAGGG